GGGGCCAAGTAGGTGCTGGCAGTGCAGGCTGGGTGACAGCAGGAGCTGGGCTGAGGCTGGAGACAGAGGAGCAGCCCCAGGAGGTAGGTGGGGGTGAGGTGGGGTGGGATGGGATAGGATGAGTGGCAGGCGGAGGAGAGATGGGATAGGCTGTGTGGCAGATGGGGATGGGACCAGGGTGGTGGGTGGCGGCAGAATGTGCCCAGGTGGCAGTTGGAGGAGGGATGGGATGGGATGGAATGGGGTGGGTGGCAGGTGGAGAAAGGATGGGATGGGACTGGACAGGATGGGATGAGATGGGTGGCAGGTGGAGGAGGGACGGGATGAGATAGGTGGCAGGTGGAGCTGGGTTTGGGCTGGTGGGAGGTGGCAGGGCATGCCCAGGTGGCAGTTGGAGGAGAGATGGGATGGGATGGGGTGGGATGAGGTGAAGTAGGATAGGACGGGATGAATGGGAGGTGGAGAAAGGATGGTAAGGGACAGGACAAGATGGGGTGGGGTGGGGTGGGTAGCAGATAGAGATGGGACTGGAGTAGCGGATGGTATCAGAATGAGCCCAAGTGGCAGTTAAGAGGAGGGATGGGCTGAAGCAGGAGATGAATGACAGGTGGACGAGGGACAGGACAGGACAGGATGGGACAGGTGGCAAATGGAGGAGGTACCAGGATGGCAGGAGGTGGCATACCTGCCCAGGTGGCAGTTGGAGGCTGAAGGGGCAGGACATGGAGGGGCCCCCCACAGCAGTTGGGGTGAAGGATGGGGCTGGACATGGGCGAGAGCAGGGCGTTGGGGAAGTTCAGGGCCAGGGGAGGTGGGGGTCAGGGTGGCAGCTGCAGAGGCAGAGCAAGGGGCCGTGGGAGATGGGGAGTGGAGCCAGGGGGCAGACGGAAGACCAAAGTGGGGCTGGAGGATAGCAGCAGGGTGGCTGCACCCCAGGGTGCTGCAGGTGTGGGGCATGGGTTAGGAAAGAGCTGACGGTGAGGGACAAGGCCAGAAATGGCTGCAGGCAGGGAAGGGGCTGTGGCAGCTGCAGGTGGCCAGCAGCAGTCGGTGGGGGCAGCGTGGAGCTGGGGGTGGTGGGTGCAGAGCCGCG